ACAACAAGGCAAACAGAGGTTAAGTGACTTGCCCAGGGTCATATGTAAGTAATAAGTAAGTATCTGAAACCAAATTTGAACTCAGGTCTTCCTGACTCCAGGCCTGAAGCTCTATCCATTGGGCCACCTAGATGCCTCCTCTTTATTCAGGTAGCTCCATTGCACTGGGGTGGGCTAGGAGAGCAAGGAGAGGAGTAGAGACAATGGACTTGCCCCCAGGCCACAAAGTGCTTTAATACCATCAATACAATTCCCCAGACATTATTGTCCCCTTAGTCAGTCTGGTGGTACCAACTTCTTATTACTTTGTATGTATTTCCATATGGTTTCCCTAAATATACTGCCAGGAATTCTTTTGCCTAATGCTCAGCACACAAGAATTTGCAGGGAAAAATAAATAAAATCTATGCCTTTCTCTCACCCCATTATCCAGAGATACTCTTTGCACCTTCCCCTTCTATATGTAAGGTGTGCCTGTTTTTCCTGTCCTTAAACAGGATTAAAGGACATAAGGGGCAGAGATATTGAAATGTAAACAAAAAGCTGAAAAGTAACCATCCCACACCTTAGAAGAGAACCCTCCCTTCCTACCAGAGAAGTCTGAATTATTATGGTGTTAAAAAATAAAATATGTTGATATTATACAATACTACACATATATTTTATGCATTTCTCAGTTTCTAAGCTTTTTCTGTGTTATCTGCTGGCCAACATGTGTAATCTGCGTCTTCCACAAAACTCCCCCAAAATTCTCATTTAATTTTTTATGCCCACCACAATATATCAAAACTGTGATGGGGAAAGTCACAATGTGGAAAGGATAACAGTATACAGAATAAATTGGGGGTAGTCTCAGAAGGAAGATGCTGATGATTCTCAAATCTACTTATCCAGTCCCAACCTCTACACTGTTGTCCAGATTCACGTCTCCCAACTGCCTAATAGAAGTCTTGAATTGTACATACAGTAGACATCTTAAACTCAACATGTCCAAAACTGAACTCACTGTTTCCCCCTAAACCTTTCTCTCTCCCTAGCTTCCCAATTACTATCAAGGATACCACCACCATTCCAGGCACCCAGGCTGGCAACCTTGGTATCACCTTTGACTCCTCACTTTCTCCCACCCCCCCCATATCCAATCTGTTGCCATTTTCCTAACATCTCTTGAATATTCACACTTCTCTCCTGACACTGCCACCACCCTACTGTAGATCCTCATCACCTCGTGCCTGTACTATTATAATAGTCTGCTGATGAGTCTGCCTACCTCAAGTCTGGGCTCACTATAGTCTATCCTCTCTTCAGCTGTCAAAGTGATTTTCCTAAAGTATAGGTAGGACCCTGAAAATCCCCTACCAGGGGTGGGGAACCTGCAGCCTCAAGGCCACATGTGGCCTTTTAGGTCCTTGGGTGTGGCCTTTTGGCTAAGTCCAAGTTTTACAAAACAAATCCTTTTATTAAAGCATTTGGACTAAATCCAAACTTCACAGAACAAATCTCTTTAATAAAAGGATTTGTTTTGTAAAACTTGGACTTAACCAAAAGGCCACACCCAAGGACCTGGAGGGCCACATGTGATCTTGCAGGTTCCCCACCCTTGAGCCTACTCAATAAACTCCAGTGGTTCCCTATCAGCTCCAGAATCAAATATATAAAATCCTCTGGCTTTCCAAGTTCTTCTTGACCTGCTACTCCAACCCTCCCCTTTCTAGTCTTTTTACACCATACACAGACCCAGTGCCACTGGCCTCTCTCATTAATAAATGTTTATTGACTGACAATTGGAGAACATAGTTCAGTACTTTAATTACTCTGATTCCATCTATGTCAGTACTCCCTCCAATGAATGGATGAATGAATGAATGAGCATTTATTAAGAACTTATTACTATGGGCAAAGTATTAGAGACACAAATAAAAAAGTAAGACAGGCCTTGATCCTAATAGAGGTCACATTTTATTGGGGGAGACAACACATGTGGAAGATTAGTAAAGGTGACATCCTGTCTATGCTGTCTCACTTCTGTGATTCTTGTCCATGTTCTAATAAATGTGCCACAAGTGTTATGAGACACTCCATCTTTCAACTCTGGACATTTTCACTGACTGTCCTCCATGCCTTGGGATATTGTCCCTCTTCATTTCTGCCTCCTGGCTTTCCTGGCTTCCTTTAAGTCCCAGCTAAAATCCCACCTTCAGCAAGAAGCCTTTGCTGATCCCCTTTAATTCTTGTGCCTTTCCTCCATTGATTATTTCCAATTTATCCTGTGGATAGCTTGTTCGTACATAATTGTGTAGTTCTAATCTCCCTCTGCTCTCCTTGAGAGCCAGAACTGTATTTTAGCTTGCTTTATATTTCCTGTGCTTAGGAACAGTGCCTGGCAGATGGTAGGCAGTTAATAAGTGTTTAATGATTGACTGACTTGGATTAACGAGGACTAGAAAAGAATTCTTGCTGAAGGTGAGACTTTAGCTGAGACTTGATGGAAGCCAGGGAAGCCAGGAGGTGGAGAAGAGGAAGGACAGGTAAGAGATTCATCTCAGGAGCATATGAATTTTGAAGGTATATACACTGGCTGAGTTCACATTGAAATTCAGCTATCATTATTTGTATCTTTTATAGGTACTGCATATGGACCATGAATCTGAGTCACGATTAACTAAAAGGTTGAGAGAAGACTGAATTGCATTTGGGAAATTGTTCAGTATTTTCAAGGATTCCAACATGCCCCCTGGTACAAAAATACATTTTTTAATGCCAGTTTTCTCCTGTTGACATTAGATGTTTGTGAATCATTTCTAAAGAACCAGTACTGTGGGTGAGCTCAAGGTTCATATAGAGATATAAACATATTAGCAAAATAACCTGTACACTAGAAGTAGCATAAAAGATATCATCCACAAGATGTATGATGGGAAAAAAGAGTGGGCAAGTCACATAATCAGAATGAGAGAGTTGAGCTGAAATTCATCAAAAGAGGGGAAACTCTAGAGAAAGACCTCTGTTACACTGGGGGTTGTTGTTCAGTCGTATCAGTGGGCTCTAACTCTTTGTGACTCCATTTGGGGTTTTCTTAGCAAAGATACTGGAGTGGTTTGCCATTTCCTTCTCCAGTTCATTTTACAGATGAAGAAACTGAGGTAAACAGAGGTGAGTGACTTACCCAGGGTCACACAGCTAATAAATATCTGAGGCCAGATTTGAACTAACAAAGATGAGTCTTCCTGATTCCAGGCCTGGCACTCTTTCTCCATTGTACCACATGACTGCCCACACTAGGAGTAAAGGATCTATTGGAGGATATAGACAAGAATCACAGAAGGTGAAAAGACATAGCTATGATGTCACCTTTATCAATCAATCAATAAAAATTTACGAAGTGCCTACTATTGGGCCAGGCACTGTGCTAAGCTCTGTGGGGATACAAAAAGGGGCAAAAGACAGCCTCTGCCCTCAAGGAGCTTATGATAATTGGGCAGACAGTGTGCAAACAGATATGTACAAAGCAAACTATATACAAGATAAATAGGAAGTAATTAAGAGAGGGAAGGCACTGGAATTAAGAGATGAGAAAGCTTCCTGTAAGATGTGAGATTTTCATTGAGACTTAATAGAAGCCAGCAAAGCCGGTAGGTGTAGATGAAGAGGGAGAGCCTTCCAGGTATGAAGGACAGCCAGAGGGAATGCTGGGAGCGGAGATGGAGTGTTTTGTTTGTGAAACAGTCAGAAGCCCTTTGTCACTGGATCCAAGAGGACATGTTGGGGAGTTAGGTAAGTAAGTAAGAAGACAGGAAGAGTAGGAGGGGTCTAAGTTTTGAAGGGCTTTGAAGGCCAAGCACAGCATTTGTATTTGTTCCTGGAGGCAATAAGAAACCTTAGGAGTTTGTTAAGTAGGGGTGTGGCAGGATCAGACCAGCACTTCAGTGGCTGAAAGGAGGATGGATTTTGGAACTGGGAGAGACTTGAGGCAGGCAACCCACCAGCAGGCTGTTGAAATAGTCCAGATATGAGGTGATGAGAGCCACTAGGTGACACAGAGGATAGAGCATTGGGCTTGGAATCAGAAAGACTCATCTTCCTGAGTTCAAATCTGGTCTTAGACACTTACTAGATGTGTGGACCTGGACAAGTCACTTCATCCTGTCTGCCTCAGTTTCCTCATCTGTAAAAATGGGCTGGAGAAGGAAATGGCAAACCACTCCAGTATCTCTGCCAAGAAAAACCCCAAATGGGGTCACGAAGAGTTGGACATGACTGAAACGACTCAACAACAAAGACAACATGAGGTGATGAGGGCCTGCACCAGAGTGGCGGCAGTGCCAGAGAAGAGAAAGGCGTATTCTAGAGATATTGCAAAGGTGAAATTGACAGGCCTTGTTTACAGCTTGTCAATAGGAGAGGTAGGAAAGGTGAGAGATAGTGAGGGGTCCAAGATGACTCCTAGGTTGCTAGCCTGAGGAACTAAAAGGATAGGGAAGGGAGGAGGTAGTTGTGATATAAGGGTAAAGATAATAAGTTCTGTTTTTAACATACTAAATTTAAGAGGTCTATGGGACACCCAGTTTGAGATGTCTGAAAGGCAGTTGGAAATGCATGATTGGAGGTCAGCAGAGTGAAGGAGGCCCAAAAGGTAGATTTGAGAATCATCAGCATAGAGATGGTAATTAAACCCACGGGAGCTAATGAGATCACCCACTTTCTATATGTTTTGTCTTCTCCCAATAGAATGTGAGCCCCTTTGATCAAGAACTATCTTACTTTAATTTGCAAGCAGTAAGAGCTTAATAAATGCTTATTCATTTATCCATTTATTGGAAGGAGTTACACTGATGGGATCACAGAACAATTAAAGTAGTGAAAGCTCTCCATGTATTAAGTACCTGTACCTGCTCTTGACCTGGGGCAGGAGAGAAAGAAGAGCAGAGGGGGCGGGGCATGGGTGGGTCTGCTTACTTGATGCTAGCTAGGGGCCAGACTCCCGAGCGATAGGACACGCGGAGACGCTTAGTTGAAGGGAAGATGGCATTCCTTAGCGAACAGAGCTACAAAGATGCCATCGACGAGTGTCACAGTTACAATGCCCGTCTATGTGCCGAGCGCCATCAACGCCTGCCCTTCCTGGACTCTCAGACCGGAGTGGCCCAGAGTAACAGTTACATCTGGATGGAAAAGCAACATCGTGGTCCGGGACTGGCGCCGGGTCAGTGCTATTCCTATCCTTCTCGGCGTTGGCAGAAAAAACGCCAGGCCCACCTTCTTGAAGACATCACGCTCTTCTTGGCATCCACCAAACCAGACGCGGAGGGGATTCTGAAGAAAAAGGGCCTAATTGCTCAGGCTAGAAACAGCCCGAGGGCCCTGGTTCGCACTAACATCCTAGGGAAGCAAGATGCCGGGGCTGATGATGATCGCCTGGGCGGGTCTCAGGTGACCACCAGCGGGGCAAGGAAACAGACCCTGGAGTTCCAGGATGAAGATGAGGTCTGGGTGGCTGACCACGAGGAAGATAAACCCAAGCAGGGCAGGGGCAAAGCCAAGGCTAAAGGTGTGAGTAGCAACCTCCAGTAAGTGGTAAGAAGTTCTAGATGCTTCTGTCCTAAAGGGGACAAACCCTTTGTGGGTGGCAGTAGTTTTGAACAAAATCATATTTTAAAAGCTCGCCAGAGTGCATTAAAAGCGATATAAGAATTGCCAAGGTCTGGGTTACCACCATGCTCATTCCACTTCAGCAGAGGAAGGCCAGAACAGGGAGTATTTCTCAGCCTGTCCTTCAGAGGTCTGAAGAACCCATGACCTTGAGGAAATGACCTGCCTAAGTACTACTTGATTCCCAGGGTGGGGGTGGGGTGGGAAGTTCAAGGTGGGTGAGAAGGCAGGGTAGCCTGAGGAGCTGGGATCCTCTTCAATTGCAGCTATTTCCTGCCCTCAGTTCATCTCAATAATTCATTCCACTCCCTTGACTTCTCCTTTTGTTCTCCTCTCCCCAACCCCAAACTTTAAGATTGAATCAGCCTTGGTATTCAGACCTCATCAGTACTCTCTGCCTGTCTGATTGCAGGACAGAGCAGCTCTGAGCTCCAAAACCTACCTATAGGATCTCCATTTCTTTGGTTTCTATCAGATTCACTTTTGACCTCTCTATCACCTCCCCTCTACCTTCTCCCACCCTCCTCCCCCAAACTCCAGCACTTAGCACAGTTCCTGGCACATAGTAGGTGCTTAAAAAATGTTTACTGAATGAAGGGTGGCAAGCGGTGAAGACCTACTAAATGTTGCAATATCTGCAGCACCTCTGAGAATCTTCTGTAACCATAAAGAAGCTACCATATGTATTGTCTCAGCCCCTCAATGTGGGAGGAGCTGAAGGGAACTGAAGTTGCTATTTGTGTCTGGACTGGTTGAAGGAGAGGCATGTGTGTCAGATACTCCTCTTGAAGCCCACCCACCCTCATTCTCCACCCCCCTCCCCAAATGCACCAGGCTCTGTCTTCCTCTTGTTTTACAATATCTCCTCTCCTTTCTCCCTTTTTGCAGCCTCAGGGAGGGTTGTGACATATTATTTGGGGCAGCTGGTTAGTTGAGCTGGCAACACTGATCCTGTATTTGGGAGAGGCCTACTGCCCCTAGGAGAAACTGGGCCCTGGCTTCTTTCTCTCCATAAAGTACATTCACTCTGCCTGCTTCTTAGAGAGTTGAGCTGTGCCCTCGACACTGGAGCTGGTGTGCAGCTTTCTTTTTTCCCAGGTCTGTGCACTCTACTTTTAGGGTTTGCCCGTCTTTCGTAGAGGAACCAGGCAAAGGAGAATTTTCTAAGGGCATCTGAAAGGGGCTGAGTGAGCTGGGAAAGCCAAGAGATCTCTCTGGCTCCTCTCCTGCCTCTATTCTTTCCCACCTTCCCTTCACATCCCTTCAGGGAAGGTCTCCATAACTCTTTCTGCCCGCTAGGAGTCTGGCATGATGCTCTCAGTCACCTTGGTAACTTGGTGCTAGCTGCAGCCTGACTCCTTTCCCTGATGGTTTGTACATCCATTCTCTTTCCTCAATTCTTTTTGTTTTGTTTTGTTTTGTTTTGTAGGGAGAAAGATCATTCAAGAAGAGTGAGCTTCAGGAGATGTCGGATAAGGAGCCTGTTTTTTAACTCTACTCAAAGTCAGCCTCCAGCATCCCCCTTATGCTCTTCCTCTTCCTGACCTAGACATGCAGTCCTAAAGTGAATTGGAATCCAGTAAGCCCCAATCCAATGCCCCTAAGTTCCTGGGTCACAGATGAGTCACTAGAAACCCCTCCTCCCCTCAGATACTTGCTAGCAACTGATAACGGCTCAATGCTTCTGATTCCTCAGGCTTCTGCCAGCTGAAGCTGGCAGGGGAGAGGGGCAGAGCACGGAAGCAATACGTAGCAGTGCTCTCTGGGGAACCTTTCCTGCTTGGCCCTAAGGGAGGACTTATCTCACTGTTGCATTGGAGTAGAAGTGTCTTTTTTTAAGTTCGTGTACTCCAGACATTAGTGCAATAAATATTTTATATGGACAAAAACAACTCAGGAATTCTGTCTTCTTTAGGTTTGTGAGTTCAAATCCCATTGTTGACAGGTGTTTGAAGGTGAAAGGTTAGCATAGTACCACCATTGTATTAGACATTCGTCCATTTGTGTGCCATTCTATCATCTATTTCTAGTTTTGTGGCCTGCCATAAAACTCCACTTATTAGAATCCCTAGTGTCCCTCAAAGTTCAGCTCAAATGCTACCTAGCCTATCCTGACCTCCCTCTTTGCTAGTGCCCCCTCCCCCAAGTGACTTTATGTTGATTTTGCGGCTACTCTGTATATTCTTATATGAGTACTCTTGTCTCCTTATGAAAACTAAACTCCTTTGGAATACTTTTGTGCTCCAAGAAATGGTGAAGGAATGGTTTCAGAAAAAACCTGGGAAGACTTATATGAACTGATGCAAAGTGAACAGAACCAGGAGAACATTCACACAGTAATAGCAATATTGTAAAGAGAATCAGCTGTGAAAGACTCAGTAACTGATCAATACAATGAAGTACCACAATACCAAAGGATTCATATGAAAAATGGTATCTACCTCCAGATAGAGAACTGATGGATCCAGGGTACAAAATGAAGGTTTCTTTTTTCTTTTCATTTTTTTTCTCCCCTACCCTGAACATGGAACGCAGAAATATGTTTTGCATGACTTCATATATATAACAGGTATCATATTTCTTGTCTTCTTAGTGGGCAGGAGAGGGGATGGATAGAAGGAAAGAACTTAGAACTGAAAATAAAAATAAATTTTTAAAAAAATCAAATTAAAAAAAAAGAATATAAATTTCTTGAGGACAAGGACATTTTCATCAAGTTATCCCCAGTGCTTAGCATAGTGCGTGGTGGTAGGTATTTAATAAGTGCTTACTGATTGATTGCATTAGACTTATATGCTTCTTTGAAAGTCCTGGTGGTGAGAAGGAAAGGCATGAGAAGATATCCTTTGAGAGATATCTCCTCCAATAGTGCTTAAAAGGCAGAATCGTTGCTTGAAACCTTCAGACAGCCCCTGATGTTATCTAGTTTCTGCAGAATGCGTTTGCTGAACTATCCCTCCCGCAAAGAATTCAGGGGAAGTCCTAGATTATGTTCTCTGGCTGATGGCTGCTTCAGGAGAATTTTCTCCTTTCTCTGGACATCCTTGTCCCAGAGGAACTGCTGACCCCAGAAGGAAATGAATTCCAGTCATAGTGCTGATCTTTCTCTTCCATTCTATTATTTATAGTGCTAGGCCCCATTACTCAGTGAGTAAAGAGGTGTTAGAGCCCCAACTCTTCATTGGCTGAAGGGCTACCTGTTACTCGGCCAGATGTGTTCATGAAGATTGGTTTAGGCTCCGCTGGAACCACAGATAACGGCCTTAAGGCTGGTGTGATTAAGATCAAGAAACCTTAAAGATGTCCCCTGAGAGTAGCCCCACCAGTGAGGGCGGCTCTTCTCTTCTTGTGCTCCTGCAAACCCCAAGAGGCCCGTTGACAGATGTGTGCTGTGACTCTCGTGAATTCCTGGCTGTATGCACCATTGGAGCACGGTGATTCTTGAGATATCTGGAACCTAGCGTTTTGGGTTTAGAGATGACAACCTTTAGGTTTTGGTAGACACTTGGACTTCCTTTTTGTCTTTCAACCCCTGTGGGCCCAGTAGGGGCTAAGCTTCTATTTGGAGGTGAGTTCTAAAGGATTTTGCAAATACTTAAAAGGAAAATCCACATGTTTGTGCTTTAGTGCTAAAAATTGTGAATGATCTTTAAATGAAAATACAAGATACTACAGTTGTAGATCTCACGTAGTAAAAAAGATGTAAAAAACCAGATATTTATTAAGTGCTTCCTAGGGGCAGCTAGATGGTGCAGTGGATAGAGGGATGGGCCTGGAGTCAGAAAGACTTATTTTCTTGAGTGCAAATCTGGCCTCAGACATTTCCCAGCTGTATGACCCTGGGCAAGTAACTTAACCCTGTTTGCCTCAGTTTCTTCATTTGTAAAATGAGCTGAAGAAAGAAATGGCAAACCACTCTTCTATCTTTGCCAATAAAACCCCAAATGGGGTCACAGAGATTCAGACACAACTGAAAAATGACTTAACAAAAAGAAAAAATGGTGACAGACAGTAGGCGAAGCACTTTACAAATATTATCTCATTTGATCTTCACAATAATACTGGAAGATAAATTATGATCCTCATTTTACAGTTGAAAAAAAAAACTGAGGTAGGCAGGTTAAATGACTTGCCCAAGGCCACATAGTAAGGGTCTGAAGCTGGATTTGAACTCAGGTCTTCCTGATTTTAGGTCCAGAGCTCTATCTACTATGCTACTTGGATGTCCCCTAATTAGACCCTATTTGACCTTGAGCAAATTACTTAACTACTTTGTGCTCAGTTTCCTGGATTGGAAAGGGTTGGAATAGATGACTTCTAAAGTCCCTGCTAGTTCTAAATCTGTGGCCCAATGACCACAGCGTAATAAAAGATATATTTGAGTCTGGAGTCAGAAGACATGTTCAAATCCAACCTGTGGTAGTTATTACCTTTGTAACCTTGATTGAGTCACTTAATTTCTGGAGCCTCAGTTCCCTTATCCACAAAATGAAAGGACTGGATAAAATGGCCTTTGAAATCATTTCCAGCTCTAATTCTACGATCCAGTGAAAGAACTCTTTAGGGGCAAGGACCATACATTATCCTCAGTCCTCCACAGTGTTTTGTTGTGTCTAACTCTTCATGACTCCATGGACCGTAGCACGTCAGGCCTTCTGTCCTCCTCTGGGCCCTGAAGTCTGTCCAAGCTCATGTTTGTTGCTTCCATGACACTATCTATCCATCTCATCCTCTGCCATCCTCTTTTCCTCTTGCTTTCAATTTTTCTCAAACTCAGGGTCTTTTTCCAATGAATCTTATCTTCTCCTTAGGTGGCCACAGTATTTAAGCTTCAGTTTTAGTATTTGACCTTTCAGTGAATAGTCTGAATTAATTTCTTTAAGTATTGACTGATTTGGTCTTCTTGTTGTCCAAGAGACTCTCAAAAGTCTTCTCTGGCATCACAATTTGAAAGCGGCTCTCAGCTTTCCTTATAGTCCAATTCTCATACCATACTGGTAAAACCATAGCTTGGACTGCACAGACCTTTGTGGCAAGGTGATGCCTCTGCTTTTTGGTATGCTGTCCAGACTCGTCATAGCTTTCCTTCCAAGGAGCAAGCATCTATAACAATATTGGATACCTATTACTAATGAGGCAGTGTGGTACGTAAGGAAATATCTTTGTGTAGTAGAATGATGGATTAGCAATCAGAGAATTGGCAACCTTGTGTGACCTTAGGCAAGTCAAAAACCTCTTTGGGCCTCATTTTTCTCATCTTTAAAATGAGGGGGTTGGACTACATGATCTCTAGGGTCCTCTCTACCTTGGAAATTTATATAGTAAACATTCCATGAATAATGGTTGATTAAAGGTTCATTTCCTTATATTTTCCAGTGTATAAATGTACTATCTCATTCTTTGCTTGGTAGGTTGCATTCTACTCTTTGAAATACACATTATGCTTTGATTTATTAATCTTATCAAATTTGTAACGTAGAAAGTTCTCACTGTCAATTCAACTCAATAAAAATTTATTAGCTACCTAAAACATACCTATGTGCCAGGCACTATGTTTGATGCTGGGGGTGCAGAACCAAGAATAAAATTTACCTTAATTTCAAGGATTTTATTTGGGGAGGGAGGTAAGGAGGCAAGCTTCAATTGGATAAAACACGTATGCAGATACAACAAATACAACTCAGTTTGATTTAATTCAGTAAATATGGATTAAGCACCTACTATGTGCCAGGAACTGTGCTAAGCAGCTAGGGATGCAAAAAGAGGCAAAAGACAGTTCCTGCTCTCAAGGAGCTTACAATCTAATGATAAGTAAAAAGAAGGTAATTTGAAGAGGAAAGAGAACATTAAAAACATAAAAAGAGAACATGAAAAGACCCAGGGAAGGCAGCCAGCTTTATTTCATAAACTCTATCTTCCAACCAAGCAAGATTCCTAGGTGTTCCCCAAAGTGGAAATTACATTGTGCATCTGCACAAACTAACCCCTACCTTTGGAATGGACTCCTTCCTCCTCTCTGCCTTTCAGAATCTTTGTCTTCCTTTAAGGTTCAGCTCATCTTTTTTCTGAAGCTTTCCCTGATCCTCTATTTTTCCAAGTACTTTCTTTATTTTCAATGTACTCTCCTTACATTGAAAAGCAAAATGTTTTGGTGGAATTAGTGAATAGTGGGCTTGGAGTCAAGAGGTAGCCCTGCCTCTTATACTTATGACCCTGAGTAAGTCATTTATTTTTTGAGGGGAGGCAATTGGGGTTAAATGACTTGCCCAGGGTCACACAGCTAGTAAGTATCTGAGGCTAGATTTGAACTCAGATCCTCCTGACTCCAGGGCTGATGCTCTATCAACTGAGCTACCTAACTGCCTGTTGACTATGTCATTTAATCTCTACTTTTGTTAAACAAATCCTTAGGATTTATCTTCCAAGTCAGTGGGCTCCATATTTTCTAAATCATGCATCCTCATCTGTAAAATAATAAGTACTATATCAGTGATTGTTGTTGTTGTTACATCCAGGCCTAGGACATTTGAAAAGCCTCCTGGGAGAGAGCTATAATCACTCAGATCACTTTGAGTGATCATTCAAAGGAGTTTGGACTGTCTATCCACACAGGAAAGACCAAGTGGATGAAAAATGTCTTTTGCCCATATTTCAACATGTATTTGGATGGATACTATATAGCATTCCAGCAGTATGTTTAACTGGGGCAGAAAGTACAGATGGATGATGAGATGGGCCCAGAATTAAAAAGGATAATAGACTGAATTGCTTTCAGAAAATTGCAAAGCTCTTTTAATGACCCCAGAGCTTTCCATGAAAGGATTGACTCATCTTTTCAATACTAGCATTTTG